TTTTATAGCAATATGGATGAGATTGTGGCTGGCATACCCTGTCAAATGTGGCTTTACGGAGCTCAAAGGCACTGAACGGCTCTAGCCCAAGCTGTGATATAAACAAACGCTATTGGCTATTTTAAAAAGGGGCGGGGCTGCTTGATATGTCCCGCCCTGTCTTCCTGTTTCAGTTAAAATGACGTCAACCCATAGATTAACTCTGCGTGTTTGTAAGCATTTCAGGGGACCTTTAAGACTGGTTCTGTGGTCCAGGGTCACATTTGTATCTTCATTGATGCTTTCTGAGAAATATTTACTCTTGCTTACAACAAAACTTAAAATTAACACAAAAATTACTGACATAACCATGCAACTTTCAATAAAGCGGTTTTGAAACAATGCATATTGTGAATCATACTATACAAATAAATAAAAAAACCTAATATTTCGACCCTTGCTGTGGGAGAGGAGCACCAAATGCAAAAATGATCTTACATCTCCAGCTGACCTTGCATGCTCTGCTGTTCCTGACTGCCATCACTTATTTATGTAATATGCATAAATAATTAGATTTACACGTCTAGACTAGATAGTGATTAACTGCATTGAATATGATGGAAATTAAATAATCATAATGCTTGACACCGCTATAATAACTAGACCCTGATTTATAAAGAGCATCTCAGACATGTTTAGTCTTCTCTGTACATGCATCACCATTTGAACACAATGTCGGCGTGAATTCTTTCATCCAAAGAGGGAGATGGAGTGTGTTTATTGAGGGTAAGAAGAGATCCCGTTCCCCCATTATGTGCTAGAGTAGATTTGCAGAGCCTTAATGGAAACTAGATCTAATGATTTGCTCTAATGAAGGTATTATCGTATCTTTTATATGTAAAATACCTCACTTTACATGCAAATGCAAATATTACAAATACTAATGAAGTTATGTTTCATTATTATTCATACCCAATTTAAAACTATTCATAGATTTCATGTGACGTCACACAGTGGTGCGGCCGCCATTTGTAGGACCTACATGCCGTCTGTCTGCTGTGATAACAGCAAATCACAATGGCTTATTTACCAAGAGATGAAGATGTATGGGGTCATTTTGATTAAATATGTCTGGTAAGCATCAATGTGCATTTACAGTTTTAGTATTTTACTTTTCCTTCATAAAGGAACTTGAAAATGTTAACAACTTGTGCGAGACTGCAGCGAACACGGCTTTAATGATTTGCCCGAATACTTTCGGTATGCTTTCCACCTAAAGCTAATACATGAACGAGATGTTTTTGATCTAAGTATAGCTAAAGGTGGGGTAAGTGATTTCTGGGAGCCAATGTTGATATTTAAAATCACCAAAACAAACACGCTCCGCCACACACATACGTACGCAACCCAGGCAACGATTAGTTCTGTGCAACAAAGCAAAACCAATGTTACACAGTGTTTACACCGGACACGAGCGGCGCTGCGCAACAAAATACTATAGAACTCATTATAATCAGTGATGCTGTCTACACTGGATGCGGCGCGACACGACAAATCCCCGACAGAAAACTGCTGCTGCGTTCTATTCATGACGTATTGACACAAATTTCAAATGACTTTCAACGGTCGCTTTGTCGCGTCCAGTGTATATAGACATAGCTGTTGTGGCGCAGCACAACAACTGTCGCGTCCGGTGTAGACACAGTTACTCACCTATCAAGAAGTAACAAAGCAACCTCGGCGTCCGATCGCAGGCCTTCCACTCCTTGAGTTCTCTCCAGCGCTAGAAAGCTGTTCCGATATTTACACGGGTTCTACTTCTTGCCTTAAGCCTTCTTTCGTTCCGCAGACGTTTTCCTCTTTTGCTTTTTTTATCCTCCATCTCTATCGTTCTGTCGCTCGGCTCGGCTAATGTCCGTCCTGTGCACTGAACTCTCTCTCCTCCACATCATGAGTAGACACGCCCCTTACTGCTGATTGGCTACAGTTTGTTTTGGTACTCAGCCCGACTCAGTTTAAAGCGTTTTTGAAAAAATACATACCCCACCTTTAAGTGAGTCTAGAGTGTTTCCACTGCACTAAACATTGAGAGCAACACTCCGATCCGCAAACAAACAGATGAAGAAGAAGAGGAGGATGATGACGGTCCAACTGAAGACACACACACACACACATCATCTTTATTTTACTTTTCTGACTGAACTAACTAGGAGCAGTTAGAGCCAAAAAGTAAGTAAGTTCAAGTAAATGTCAGCATTGACCATTATACCGTGTAATTTTTGCAACAACTGGGGGGGGAATCATAACTGAAGAGACAAACTATCCCTTTAATTAGGATGATACACTCTTTAAATATTAATCATGCTGCATTGCAATTAGTGTTGTTAATAGTCTGTCAAACAACATGTGAATTACTACAATATATATTTAATTTAATTCAGCTTGGTGCATTAAGTTAGACCTTTAGTAATGGATACTTGTATATTATTTGCTCTTTACATGTGCAGAAATGAAAGCTCCCAAGCAAAGAACTCACCAGATTAAGATGTGGAAAAACATGTTACACAACGACCACAATTCCCAATAAAAGATTTGGAAAATGAGCAACAACCAAGGAACAGTAGTCACTGATTCACTCAAAAATGATCCATAGGAATAGTTAGGTAATTATATAAATTACATTGCCGTGTACGAAATGTTTAATTCCAAAATCATTTACCAACATGTTGTTCAAAACAAGTTTTTAATGTTTTAAGCTTTACTTAAATTTTACAATCCAAGTATAACCAAATGCATGGGTAATTTTCAAATTGTGTTAAATATTTTATCTACACTTATTGTATAACTGCTGTTTTTTTCTGTAATTGTGTAGTTGTGTAAATAAATTTTCCTCATGCCAGCTTAATCAAGTGATTTCTTTAATGGATTTTAAAATTGCATTTATGTTTATATATTTATGTCATGGTATTAATATTATAATCTATATAATTAAGAAGTTCACTTGACAGCAAATTAAGGATCTAATCCTAAAGTATCTGTGTTGTTTAAATTGTTGGTTGTTTTTCGTCGGTGGTGAGGTCTGCTATTTTGGTGCGTTTCCGATCCCCAAGAGAGGCTACGCAAAGGTCCTAAAGATGGCGGCCACAACAAAAAAAAGTCACGTGACTGAAACCCATGAATATATACTGGAATATAATATATTTACCATTCTAAAATTTCACCCATTTTCATCCCGTTCCTTCACTTAGACTGTGGACATTCATAAAGAAAAAGTTGCCAGACGAGAGATCGGGATCCTCACCACCAACAAAAACACATCTCGAACCCACAAAATCATCGCCCCCGGAAACATGGAGCGGCCCGTGCGCTACATCAGGAAACCCATAGATTACACCCTGCTGGATGATGTGGGTCACGGTGTTAAAGTAAGTTTGACATTTTAATGTCACGTGTTTGATGTTTACTGAACAAGCATCATTCTTACTATTAATCATACTTGCATTACATCTAGAAGTTTTACTGACTTTTTAGCTTAGAGACACAAAACATATATTTTTAATAAGTCAAGAAAAAAAACAAGACCTCAAGTGAATAGATACTATACATATAGTCATTTTTGCTAAAAAAGAGTTAAAGCACACAGAAAAAGGGTAAGTAAGAATCCAGTGTTAGAATAAAATGTGACTAGTTAATATACAATAAAATATAAGAGAACCTGTCATTTCTACCATGTTAATGTTTTCAAACTCAAAAATGAAAATTCTGTCATTTACTCGGCCTCAAGTTGTTCCAAACCTGTATGAGTTTCTTTCTTCTGCTGAACACAGAAGAAGATATTTTGAAGAATGTTGGTAACCAAACAGTTGACGGTAGCCATTGACTTCCATTGTATTTTTTTCCATGCCATTGAAGTTAATGGCTACCGTCAGTTGTTTGGTTACCGACAATCTTCAAAATATCTTCTTTTTTGTTTAAAAAGAAACTCATTCAGGTTTGGAACAACTTGAGGCCGAGTAAATGATTTTCATTTTTGGGTGCACTATCCCTTTTAAGTGTAGTTCAAACAGTTTGGAATTGTGACTGGATAATTTTGAAATGACTTTTCCTTGATGAAATGAATAAATTATGCGCAAACCACATCTGACTGCTTTATAAACGGTATTCAAAAAGGAAAATCAACAAACTGATAAAGAAATTGATCCGTCGTGGTCTACAGAGTGTGTGTGTGTGTGTGTGCACGCGGGCGCGCGCGTGTGCGTGTGTCTGTGTATGTCTGTGTGTGTGTGTGCGTTTTTGTGACAAATGAGGACATAAATTTGTATAATGACACAGGTATTACAAGGAGAGGGTGACTTTTCAGGACATTACCCCATGTCCCCACTTTTCAAAACGCTTATAAATCACACAGAATGGAGTGTATTGAAAATCTGAAAATGCAGAAAGTCTCCTGTGAGGGGTAGGTTTAGGGGTAGGGTTGGTGTAGGGCAATAGAATATACGGTCTGTACAGTATAAAAACCATTACCGCGCGCGTGTGTGTGTCTGTGTATGTCTGTGTGTGTGTGTGCGCGTTTTTGTGACAAATGAGGACATAAATTTGTATAATGACATAGGTATTACAAGGAGAGGGTGACTTTTCAGGACATTACCCCATGTCCCCACTTTTCAAAACGC